CAAACCGTATAGCGGTTTTGCACATGTGCAAGCAGCAAACCATATGCCGGTTCTGGCCTTGTGCTGCTAGCAGCGCTGCCTGCACAAGGCCAGAACCGGCATAAATATACTACTCAATGCGATAGCAAAATTGCGAAAATTCGGAAGATAGGCACCCTGCAATGTGACAAGCGCATTGAAAATTGCCCTTTTCGCATTCACTTTTTCCCTTTCGCATTTTTGGCACTCTGTAATGCGTAAACGAATGCCAAACTGCTTGTCCTATCGCAATTTGCGTTCGATAGCTATACAGCTATCGCAATCTACAAGCTACGTCTAATAAAGGAAGATTTTTAAAATCTTTTGAACCAATATGATATCAAGTTTTATTTTATAAACATCGATTGCAAAACTAAATGGGTTTCGCTGTTTATTTCACGAAAATACATACATCTATATACATATATAAAAATGAATGTTTGTCTGTATGTCCTTTATAGGCGTCAAAAGCACCCAACCGATTTTAATGAAATTTTTACGGTAGGTGCCTATAATCACTGGGAGTGTTATAGAACAAAACTAATGTCGATAGGTGGCGCTCCAGTCGAGATATTTCTAAAATCCGTATTTACGGTCCGATTTGCTTAAAATTCGGTACGCATGTAGCTTTTTAGCATATATTAGCATATATGCTCCATTTTTTCCGAGAAGTGGACCAGGCACCGATCTATTCGAAAAAAATCGTACTTACGGTCCGATTTGCTTAAAATTCGGTACGCAGGTAGCTTTTTAGCGTATATTAGCATATATGATCCATTCTTTCCGAGAAGTGGACCAGGGACCAATCTATTCGAAAAAATCGTATTTACGGTCCGATTTGCTTAAAATTCGGTACGCAGGTAGCTTTTTAGCATATATTAGCATACATGATCCAATTTTTCTGAGAACTGGACCAGGGACCGATCTATTCAAAAAAATCGTATTTACGGTCCGACCTGCTTAAAATTCGGTACGTAGGTAGTTTTTTAGCATATATTAGCATATATGATCCATGTTTTCCGAGAAGTGGACCAGGGACCGATCTATTCGAAGAAATCGAATTTATGGTCCGATTTGCTTAATATTCGGTACTTAGGTAGCTTTTTGCCTGGATAAGCTTATAGATTCCTATTTTCCAGTTTTCATGCAATTTCGAATATAAATAGCTTTGAGCAACCACCATATCAAGGGGCGAATTCGTCACTAAGCAAGATATTTTTGCGCCCATCAGAAACAACGGATACTGTCAAAATATAATTATAATATATATGTAATATATCTCAACTAATATATATTTTGAAAGCAGTTTTTTAGTTTTCGCAAGGCTCGAGAGCGGCTGAACCGATTTTTTTGAAACTGCCACCTGTCCCAAGGATGGTTTTAGGCTAAAAAAAAATCAATATGTAAATATCTCTGAAAGTGTGCTTGGTAGAGTTCTGGAACTTGGTATGGAGATATACGAAATCAATCGCATACCCTTGGAGAAAAATTTAAGCTATTGTAAAAAGGGGTGTGGCATCTCCCATGCAAACCAAATTTTTCATACTACGTATCTCTGGAAATGTTCATGGTAGAGTTCTGGAACTTGGTATGGAGATATACGAAATCAATCGCATACTCTTGGAGAAAAATTGGAACTATTGGAAAAGGGGGCGTGGCATCTTTCATACAAACCGAATTTTTCATACTGCATATCTTTGGAAGTGTTCATGGTAGAGTTCTGGAACTTGGTATGGAGATATACGAAATCAATGGCATACTCATGAAGAAAAAGGGCAGCTGTTGGAAAGGGGGGCGTGGCACCTCCCATATAAATCGAATTTTTATACTGCATAGCTCTGAAAGTATTCATGCTACAGTACTGGAACTTCGTATGGAGATATGTATGTTGTTGAAATCAAGCCCATACACATGGAGAAAATTTGGGCTATTAGAAATCGGGGTGTGAGGCCTACAAACGTACCGACCTTTAGCTATCTTTGAATGTATTTATAATTCTTCTGTAGGTGTGTTTGTAAGAGAAATCCTCCTAAATGGTTGTACGGATTTTAACGAAACTTTTTGTGTGTGTTTGAGTCTGTCTCTGGATGGTTTAGTTTCACAATTTAATGCGACAGTTGGCGCTGTAGTTGAGTTATTACTAAAAATCTTATTTATGATCCGATTTGGCCAAATATGTATGCAATACTATTGCAAAAACGTGCTGCCAAGTGGTGCTGAAGTCAAGTTATTACTAAAAATAGCCAAGTGAGAAAGGGGCCGTGAAGGTCAGATTAAATCGAGCTGTTGCACCATTGAGTATATCCAACGCTCCTGCGTTGCGATTGGCCCAATGGATGTGATTTTCCCATATTATTATGCGTTCAAACTTTTAAGGTATTTCGTCTGAAATAAGTAGATGTATATTGCATTTCGGTAGAACAATGATCCGCACTCATTTTGAAATTGCCACCAACTATACTGTAAAGCTTCTAGGACATTCACTATAGAACCGGGTCATTGTTGCCGCCAGGGAGTGAAGAGGAAAAAATTTATTTCGCTTTGCGAATAACCGTGCTATGAAATGCCGCACAACTGGAGAATTTCAAGAACTTCTTCACGGATATAAAACTTTCCTTAGGTTCTTTAAAGCGGCAAATGACCACCAAACCATCTTAGCAGACGAATGTGCCAATGAAAATCGTAAACGTGAATTGTTGGTGAAAATGTTGGACCAAAAAGTTTCAATAAAATATATAATAATTTTGGGCGGGACGAAGTTCGCCGGGTCTGCTAGTATGTACATAAATAAGATTCAATATCTAAATTTTTGCGACTTTTTATATTGATTTTAATTTAAAAACTTATATTACGTATACCACACTCGAATAATTATATTACATTAATATGTACATACATATATACATAGGTACAATATGTGTATTTTATTTGACTGAAATGTAACAGGCTAACCTAATATTCACGCACGCCGCCAATTTACTGTCAAAAATTTCTCATGCACATACAACTTGTATGGGACCAACCGAAATTGAACGGCGTGCGTATGAAGCTAACTCAATTTCCAATTTTTGTTCTGCGTGACATTTTGATTTGACGTTTCGCTCAATGAAATCAAATGCAAACGCACGCAAGCCAATTTCGGGTGACGCAAAAAAACAAATTCGACGGCGTGCGTACCAAAACGCAAGCCGCGAATATTAGGTTAGAATGTAAGCGATTTGTATGGAAGATTTAGCCAACATAATTATATTGGCTTATGAAAAGCTATCTTGGCTTGTATATTGAACTAGAGCCATTCGGTGACAAAAAGCTTCAGCCAATCAGGAGGAGGCAAAATCTCTCATTTGACATAACAACGTTCAAAAATTTATGTATATGTATTCACAAAAATATTAACATCCCAGCCAGCAAGAAAACGTAGATTTTACGAACATTATGTTTTACGAGGGATTCTCGTTTCGCCAAAAAGTTAGAGAAAAGCTCGTGAGCGATAAAACAAAAAAATATAATAGAAAGAGGCTTGTAGTAATTTGTCAGCACAAGAAAAAATTTTAGTTTTGTTGACAATTTTTCTTCAATCACAATATTTTATTAATAAGTAGTTTGTTAAATATTCAATTTATAAAATTATTAAGTATGTGATTTATTGGCAGACTGGTGCAAACGCAAAGGACGACCTACCACTTTCTTTTATAATTAAACTTCTTGTAAGTAGCTACTACATATGTAATTCAAAAATACAAATTAATTTAACGAGTTTCTTCGAGCAATTCTTTCACAGGCTGCGCGGAGCAACACTAAAGGATTTTAACGTTTAATTCCCCTATAGCGCTGTTGGTTTGGCAACGACTGCGGCAATAAGAAGTACGGATAATAATATTATTTATTAGCACTTTTTACTTAATTCAATTTTCAGATTTCTAATGGAGTTTAATCTTTCACTTTATTTTCTTAGGTGCTTTTCGTCAAAAATTTAACTCCGACGAAGAAGTTTTTATTTCTGTTTCAAAGAAGCACTTCCAATATACACACGACCGCCAAAAAAATTGGCAGCCTATCGGCAAAAAGATAAAAAATAAATTCAGCTACCTTATAATATATATTAAACCCCTCTTATATAATAGTTAATTTGTTAATAGATAGTTTGTTAATATTTATTTATCTGGAAATATCCTCACATATACAGTGCTGGGAAAAAATATTGGCACAGAGAATTATTCGCCATGAATGCAAAGTTTTTATTCTGATTTCTTCTCTAATTGCTTTTTATAAAAATATAGTTAGTATGAAGTTCTACTTTCAAATCAGATTTTTTAGAAAAATTCTAAGTATGCAGTTTTATAGCCCATTTAATTTTAGTATAATAAAGTGCACCCTTGAATAGCTAGAAAACCTCTTTGTTTTTTGGCAATTTTTTATACGCAGTTTACGACTGTTCGTAGGCGATGAACAATTTAAAGCGAAAAAGTGTTCGAAAAAGAGTCGTAAACGGCTATCATAAACGATTTTTAATCCGGTTTTTCTTTGAGAAAATATCCAATTACTAGCTTGTTTACGATGATTTTGCTGGCTGGGATGTAATTAAAAATACAAATTTTCAAAAAATATCAAAATTGTATTCTTGTCTGCTTACCACGAAAGACGCCAATGCGATAATTAGTGCATACGAACTAAGCATTTTTAATAGCGCTTTCTTTTCTCGAAAAAATGCTGCACTTATTCTGCCTTGTGTTAGCGCTGTCAAATTTTCATGTTCTTTTCTCAGCCCTTTCACAAGGCGTCGAGTTCTTTTCTCAGCACGGTTGCGTGCTGCCTTTTCAGCCCTCAAATAAACGTGAGGGTGAGAGTTGCACGGTTAATTTTTAATTTACGCTTGTAAAAATACAATTATTTTCCGTATCAGAAATAAGTGTTTTGCTTTAAAATTACTAAAGACTTACAGGCCAAGTGAATAATTCAGCTGTATTAAGTTCTATAAATAAATTGTGATGGAGTAGTATAATAGGTTTGTTCCACAAGCTACTCGAAGTCACTTCGAGTTAGACATACGCGTTCCACAAGTAAGTTTTAGAGTTTTGTTTGATATACGCTGACAGTTTGAGCTTTCCTCGAGTTTTTCTACAAGTAGCTTGTGGAACAAACCTAATTTCTGTTTCATTCTCATATAAAGAACGCCACATTTTCAAAGCAAGACTTTTCGTATAAAAGGGCAGAACTTTTTTGAGAAAAGAAAACACTATAAGTCTCTAAAGGCAGTGTCACACGATTGGGCGTTTGCCCAAAATTTGGTGCAAATCGTATCCCAATCGTGTGAATGCACAAACATTTTTCGTTATCCCAACTACGACCAACAATTTGTACAAATTTCTCAATAGAAGTTGGCTGTATTTTACCATTCTTGTGACTACAAAAAAAATGGGATCCTAATTTTTTCATTTTGTACCAATAGCCCAAAATAAAAAATGTTCAAATGTACCAATCGTATGACACGGTGTTAAGGAAATCGTATGCGTTAACAAAACGACTGAATTTGAATACATACTTGATTTTTTTTTTATTTCCAATAGCTATTAGCTTGTGAAGGTTAAAGAAAACATGCCTAATATATGCTGTTTGTATGTACATACGTACATACATATGTGTCTATGCTATATGTATGTTTATGCACACACGTGCTTTCAATTTATATTGCGAATAACAAAAGTATAAAATGAAAAATTTTCATCAAGTGCATGCTGTGTATGCTAGATAACATACAATCAGGCGAAAAATTTAAACGAATTGTTTGGCTTAAAGTATAGAGTGAGATAACGCTTAAAGTATGCAACGAAAATCATTTACTTCCGTTTACTTTTATATCAGTGGTCCCTACAAAAAGTAAATATGATTGCGACACCATTGCGATAGTGATAGAGAGTGCCGAAAGCCTTTCGAATCGCATCGCTTTTCGTATCGCATTACAGAGTAACCCCCCAGATCTGTCTCAAACCCCTTTGCTAAAGCCAGAAGCCAGATCGCCGCCAGGCCAACGTCGATTTCAGACGCCACGGCGACACTGTACCTTTTCACACGCAACACAAGGCAATTTGCTGATGATAATGAGAAAGCTAATTTGCCAAGCACGTGTGCGGTGAGCGGGTATGGGTTGTCGGAGGTGCGTTGACTATTATTGTGCTGCCTTTGAAATGGCTATGCGAACGACGTTTAAGTTATTGTTGTGGCTTTTCTTTCTTGTAATGTAAAGTGTCTACGTCCGTTGAAGTTCACTCCCCTACCACTATAAATGCCTACTATTCCCTAGTACAACACACACGCACATAATTGTTGAGCACTCAGCATAGCCTAGGCGTTAATTGGAAGCGATGATAGGTAAAAGAAAGTGTACAAATTATAGTCAGTATATATTTTTTTTAAGTGACGAAAAGGAAATAAAAAAAAGAAGACAGAAGAAAAGCTATACTTTTAATTCTGCCATTCGCAGTCGTATGATGTGCATATCGAGGGCTTATATTCAATACCCTCTATCTGCAAAAACTCAATTTTTCAGGAGAGCAAAAAAACTGTTTTGGCAGCTGTTTTTAAAAGTGTTAATAATTTTAAGTACACACGCATGTCTTAAATATTCACGCAATATACTAAAACTAGTTTTTTACTTTTAATTCATTTAATTTTAGTTTAAAGATCAGATAGAGGTTATTGCAATTCGAATTATAACTATTTATATAGAAAAATTTGCTGATAGAGGGTTTTGCAGAATAATGGAAATGTCAGTTCTTTAGACGTAAATACTATGTTAAACTAAGATTTTAATGCAGAAATCATAGGTGTGAAAATTCGTTCCCTTCTATTCCGATGTGCCCAGGTAACCACATAATTTTAAATGTGTTTTTGTGTCAAAAGAGTATTTCACGTGATTTCGAAATTATATGAGAATCATTAGCACTGTTAAAAGAGGCTTCGCTGGCTGGTTTACTGTCGGTTCAGATGAGGAAATTTCCTTCGTTTATAGAGGCGAAACGTACAGCTGATTCGGCTGTAAATGCCGAGCAGTACGGGGGAAAAGCACTGAAGACAATTGTAACACCCAGCCCGTTTGTTACCACCATATCTGGAACCGTCTGTGAAAATAAGCCCCCAGGTAATTTATGAGTATCAAACTGGGCAAATGCCCTTGCGGTAGAGTTTTTACTTTAGTAAGCATCGGATGCTGTCGAAATCTTTGATGTAGCTTAATATACGAAATAAAGGTGATTGCTTGCTACATCAGTTTTTTTGTTGAAAGCAGGATTCGACGTGAGAGATAGCTTTTATTGGCGAGGTGGGAAATGCGCGGATGCCTTTTTCTCCTCTGCTACATAGTAAGGTGTTTCTAGCAATTTAAGAT